AGTATAGCCTTGTAGTATAGTTTGAAGTCTGGTAAATTGATACCTACCATTTTGTTTTTATTGCCTAGGATTGCTTTTTCTATATAGGGTCTTCTCTGGTTCCATACGAAGTGTAAAATTATTTTTTCTATATCTGTGAAAAATGATATTGGTATTTTAATAGGGGTTGCATTGACTCTGTAGATCACTTTGGGTAGTGATCTAATCTAAAAATAGACATTTTAACAATGTTGATTCTGCCAACCCACAAGTATGCTATGATTTCCCACCTGTTTACATCTTCTGCTATTTCCTTCCTCAGAGTTTCATAGTTCTCCCTGTAGAGTTCTTTACCTCCTTAGGTAACTATATCCCCAGGTACTTTCTTTGTTGCTATTGTGAAGAGAATTGAGTCTTTGATTTGGTTCTCACTTTGACTGTTGTTGGCATATATGAATGCCTCTGATTTGTGTGTATTGATTTTGCATCCTGAGACTTCACTGAATTCATTTATCAATTCCAGGAGTCTCTTGGTTGAATCCTTGGATTTTTCTATATATGATATCATATCAGCAAAAGGTGAGAGTTTGATCTCTTCTGCCCTCATTTGTTCGCCCTTAATTCCGCTCTGTTGTCTGATTGCTGTAGCCAGGACTTCCAGTACTATGTTGAATAGAAGTGGAGACAGTGGGCAGCCTTGCCTGGTTCCAGTTCTAAGTGGGAATGCTTTCAGTTCTTCCCCATTCAGTATGACATGGGCTGTGGGTTTGTCACATATGGCTTGTGTCATTTTAAGTAAGCCCCGTCTATGCCTATTTTGTTAAGCGTTCTTATCATTAAAAGGGTGTTGAATTTTCTCAAATGCAGAAAAAGTATCTATCGAGAAGATCATCATATGGTCTTTATTTTTGCCTCTGTTCACGTGGTGTTGCTGAGGTTTTCATTAGGCAAACGTCCCGAGAGGAAGCGGCTCTGTGTTGATAGAGTCAATAGCTTGTTCTGTGCCGGCAGACGAGCTCTTTAACTTTTAACTCCTCCTGCCAGGCGGCCGTGGTCGCAGGTCCAACTCTGGGATGAGGGGGACAAGCGTGGACCCTAACGGAGCTTCCACTATGAGGGCGGGCGGGTGGGGGGGCTCCTAAGCCAGGCAGACGTCCGCAGGGCCACGCGCTTGAGAGAATGAAAGCCGATTGCCGTTAAACAGGACGGGCGAGGACGGTCTCCCCAGGAAGGTGACAGGAAACAATAGCACCTGCCTTGTTGGGCTATTAGGAGGAGGAGAGTGGTTTCTGTGTATAGAACATCTGCAAACCCCCGACACAGGGTCAGAAGATGTGGTTAACTGCCATCTTTCAACAATACATTTGCAACAATGAAATCTTGAGTTTGGGCTGCTGGGATTTGGTCCGTTCTTGTGTGAGACAGAGAGAGAGAGATGATTTTGATTCCTAAGGCCTGTGTTCCAAGGAAAACAATAGCACTTACGCCACCTGCTCCTAGAGAGAGAAATATAAAAGCAGGGCCTCCAAACTTCTAGCTGTATCTAGACTTCGGCCTAAGACCCGGCGTCCTAAGCAGGAAAGGGGCTGTGACTTACCAGGGCTGATGCCTGACGCTGGCTTCTCTGGTGGACCCAGGGCCCAGACGGGCAGGGCAGGGACGGTCTGGCAAATGGCTGCATTTCTAGCTGGCATTGTGCTCACACACAAGCCACGTGTGCAATAATTATTTATTGAATGCAAGAATAAATGACCAAGGTCTCGGCGTGTCGCAAATGTCCGTGCAACTGAGCTCTTCCCCTAACGGAAGTCGAAGTTTTTTTTATGAGACGAAACACTCCACGCTCGGGCTGACGTCTGAAAGAGTCTGACCGTTTACACCCGAGCTGGAATTCCGGCACCCTCCGTGTGACAGGCCACCTCCCATGTCCCCTCTTTGGGCTTTTCACCGCCTTATTTCCCCCGCTTATAACTGCGGAGTGGACGGTGTGTCCGTGGCTGAGGATCGGCTGCTGGAGCGGTATTAATTTTAGGGACGGAGTCTTGGCACATGTTCAATGTTGCCATGGAAACGGCCGTTTGCAGCGATCCGCCGATGAGACACAGGTCACGGGCTCGGGTCTGTGTGGGCAGGTGTCACCGTCCACCCCACCGAGGACCTACTTGTTACGTCAGGGATTCACAAGAACTGCGCCCTGGAGCCTTAGACGTGGCGTATTCCTCTCCCATTTGAAGAAAAAACAATTGGCAAGAACTAGCACGAAAGAGACGTCTTCGTTTTGCTCCAGATGAGCAGATGGAAGACGTTCTAACTAGCATTTTAAGAAACAATATATTTAAAGTGACTTTTCCATTAATCGCTCATTCTCATAGTCATACGTGATGGTCTCCCTCGATAACTCACGTGACACGGAACACGGGGCGCGCACGCACACCTGGTTTCGGAGACGCGCGTGTTGAGGCTGGACTAGAACCTGTAACCAACTGTCACGTGCAAACCTTTTAACTTCCTGGTGCAAACTGTCCCCGCACGTTTCTACGCGACTGACACACACGTGACTGAATTCCAGGGAGGGCTGCAGGTCATTCACGCCACCGCTGCGTTTTCCGGGAGCCGTCTTTATAACCCTCAGCACGGCCACGGTTTTTCTGTTTTGTCATGTTTTGTTTGAGATGCACCCAACTCCAATTAAGGACGCCCCGGTCCGCCTGGTCGCCTAATACGGCGCCCTCACTATCTTTGCTCCTCCCAGCCCCGCGCGGTCTGGCTTAAGCGATGCTAACTCCACCTCGGAAATCTCCCTCAACTGTTCTTTGCCTTCCGTTCTCACTCCCCGGCTAAATTCAGACCCAGGTCATGTCTTAGCATGACTAACAAACTCCCCTTTTTTTCTGCCTCGAGTTTCTTCCACGTCTTCACTCTCTCTCCCGTCCTCTTCCCTGGTACTAGATCTCGTCAGGTCATGCTCCTGCTTAAACATCTTCAGTGGCTCCCACTGACCGCTGCACAGGGTCTCGGTTTGCGGCTTTCCAGTTTCTTGACAAGAGTCATCTCCTTTATAGTTTTACCTCTCACCAACTCTTTCAGTCCTTCCCCAATATACACACTCACGCACAATGTATTTGGTCACACTAGGTTCCTGACTGTTTCCCCAAATTCTAAAGACTTTATATCCTCTTGCCTATTTTTTTTTTTTTTAATCTCAAATTGTCTCATCCAAATGGAATTTCCTCCTTCGAATACCTGAATGTCGACTGATCCTTTAAAGCACAAGCACATGCCTCATTCCAATCTTATCCGGCCTACAACCCAGTGCAATAAATCTGTGACACCCACTACGGTGACACATCTTTACAATGTCCTGTGATATATTCGTAGATCTGTCTGCATGGGTCTGTGTCTCCTCCTCTTCCTCCTCCTCTCCTATCCCCAGAGCCTGAGCGCCAGATTCCAAAGTTTGACCTTCGTATTGTCATTTCTTAGCTCAGCAAGTGCCCATGGTGACAGGTCAGTATTCGGTCGCTGAACGAATAGACACACTAAGGAGCTACACTGAGCAAGGCTCCTAGTGAGTAGGTCCCAGACAACACTGTAAGGACAGCACGGTATTATATTAGTTGTGCAATAACTTAAACCAAGGCGCAGGGAACAACAACAACAAAGACTGAGGATAACAAAGATGTTAAAACTCCCTTGGCTGTTAGAACGAGCAAGGATTTCATTTGTCAGAGCAGGTCGGTTTGGTGACACAGGGAACGGTCAGAGAGAAGCTAAAATCGTTTGCTCCTGTTTTTGCTCTGAAAGAAACAGTTCTTTTGGGGGAAAAAGAGCTAAAAACTTTAAATAGCGACTGCTCCCTATTAATATTTCTGTGCAACTCAGTCACCATTTCGTGTTGCCCATCGCAGAACTTAGAGTCCAAGTTTGCTAAAAAAAAAAAAAAAAGTGCTGTGCAAACACACTGGGCCCAGCATGAAGCAAACTCTTGCGTGCGAGTAATGCCTGGGAGCCCAGGACCCAGCTCCCGCCAGGCTCCTCCTGCAGCTTTCCCTTGCCCTGCTGCTTGGGTTGGATTGTCACATTGAATCCAAATCCCAGGTACCGCGTTTCCCCGAAAGCAAGACAGGCTCTTGTATTTTTACTCAAGAAGCCACCCTAGGGCTTATTTTCAGGGGATGTGTTATTTTCCCCTCAAAGCCTCAGCTTGCAGCACGCACAGGATGGCCGGGACCTGACGGGGGAGCCGGCGTTGTTGGTGGGGCTGCCCGCACCTTTCCGGTCACCTCTGGGACAGTCGCTGTCACCACAGGGCAGATGAGAAGGGCTGCTCGTGTTCTTGACCGCTCCTTGACAAAATGCACGGGTTGTGCAGACGCGCTGCGCAGCCACGCCCGTCACTAGGGCTGACTTTCGGGGTGGGGCTTCTATTGCGCAAATGCTTAGAAATCCTTCCGGGGCTCATTTTACGGGCAGATCTTATTTTCAGGGAAACACGGTATTACTGCGGAAACCGCCTTCCAGACCAGGGCGTGACAGTCCTTCCTCTGTCTCAGGATCTTTCCCCGAGACTCAACTAACTTAATTTGCTTCCTTTCCCCCAAAAGGCTGAGGAACAGCCATTTCTTCTGTCCCCAGTCGGAACTTCCTGGCAAGGGAGCACAGAGACTGTGAACAACACAGTCCTGTAGGCCTAGAACGATCTCACAAATAGGCGAGCGGGTTTGTCTCTTGCCCTCCATGACACACGCGTGGTCTCGGGCCCTCGGGGGAAGACACTGAGTGAACACGGGAGGCATTTATTTCACGCCACGTTTCCTGCACGTAGATCTTAGATGCCAGACAGGTGGCCATTTTCAGGTGATCTGGGAATAAGAGGGCAGGACTCCCCCGGACACCTTGGTCTTTCCACAGCGCGGGCCGCGGCGGCTTTCGCTGCGCCCGCACGTCCTCCCAGGGCAGCCCCGCTGTCTGCAGCGCTGGCTCTGCTCGGAATTCACGTGACGACCGTTTCCACCCTGCAGCTGGCCGGCCACCTGCTCCCGGACGACGTCCTCACAGCCACCGGCTCGCTGACCCTGGTCTCGCTCCTCCTGATCCTCCTGCTGGCCGTGGCCGCCGCCGTGGCCGCCGCCAACAAGCGGGCGACGCAGGGAAGCTACAGCCCGAGCCGGCAGGAGAGGGAGGGCTCCCGGGTGGAGATGTGGAGCCTCGTGCCGCCCCCGGCCCTGGAGAGGCTGGTCTAGGGGCGCCGTGTCCCTCTGGGGCAGGGACCCGCACGCCCTGGGCACCGCGGCCGCTCTCCAGTGGCTCCTGACACGCCTGGAGACCCCGATTCGCAGCAGGGATGTCACCAGGAGGAGGGGTTGCCGTGGCCACCCTGAGGGCGTCCGCCGTGGCTGGGCTGGACGTCATGGTCCTGCCGTGACAGCCCTTGAGACGACTGCTCCGTGCCCGTCGTTCCAGCCTCAAGCTCGGCAAAGACACCTTCCGGAGATCACCGCCTCCTGGGAGAAGCGCCCGAGGCTGTCGCCTGCACTCCCTCCTCCTCGCTGCCTGGAAACAACGCTCCGGCTTGCGCGGGCCGGGCGTCTGCAGAGACAGCGGGAAAGAGCCGGAGTCGCCAGGTCGGAGGTTCGGCCCTGCGCCTGCTGCAGCCGGGAGCTTCCGTCTTCGGAGGAAGCCGCGGGAGTGGCTTGTGGTTTAGAAAACAATCCAGTGGCAAAAAATAAAAACTGAAGAGTGGTGGTTCTCCTTTTTTGAGGATTTTTTTTTTTTTTTTTTTTTTGCACGTCGTGGCAGTGTCCATGGGACAAAGTGACTCCGAGGAGCACTGGAAGAGCCTCCTCGTGAAGTTGATCCTGTAGCCAGATCATCTCAAGTCGGTTACACCTAAAGCAGTCATTCGGGGCACGGCGCTGGGCAGGGTCCACACACTTCCTACGCAGGAGTGTGGACACGGGAGGAAGACGCAGGTTCTCTAGTCTGAAAGATCCAGCTCTCTGACGCACCAGTGTCGCACGGTGGAGCCCAGAGCGAAGCGCACACACCGGCAGGGTGTGCGTCTAAGACGGGTGTCTGGGGACAAAGCACTGGGGCTTCCGTGTATGTATTTCCCACACGGCCTTTGGTTATATCCGATACATGTTTTGAAATGCACATAACATGCAACTGTGGTAGAATATCGATAATATTTTAAAATTAAAATACATGCATAGATGTTTGGGTATATGCTCAATGACACGAATTTCTGTTTTATTTTTTTATTTTTTTTAATTTCAGCATATTATGGGGTACAAGTGTTCAGGTTACATATATCACCCTTGTCCCCCCCAAGTCAGAGCTTCAGGCGTGTCCATCCCCCAGATGGTACACGCTGTACCCATCATGTGTGTATATACCCGTCCCCTCCTCCTCCCATCTGCCCGACGGCCGATGAATGTTATTCCTATACGTGCACTTAGATGTTGATCAGTTAATACCAATTTGCTGGTGAGTACCATGTGGTGCTTGTTTTTCCATTCTTGGGATACTTCACTTAGCAGAATGGGTTCCGGCTCTATCCAGGAAAATACCAGAGGTGCTAGATCACTGTTGTTTCTTATAGCTGAATAGTACTCCATGGTATACATATACCCACATTTTATTAATCCACTCATGTATTGATGGACACTTGGGTTGTTTCCACAACTTTGCAATTATGAATTGTGCTGCTATAAACATTCAAGTGCGGGTGTCTTTTTTTATAGAGTGTCTTTTGTTCTTTTGGGTAGATGCCCAGTGTAGTGGGATTGCTGGATCAAATGGTAGTTCTACTTGTATCTCTTTGAGGTATCTCCATATTGCTTGCCACAGAGGTTGAACTAGTTTGCAGTCCCACCAGCAGTGTAGGAGTGTTCCATCTCTCCACATTCACGCCAACATTTATGGTTTTGGGACTTTTTGATAAAAGCCAATCCTCAGTGGAGTAAAGACATTCTCAGTGGAGTTAAGTGATACCTTTTTGTGGTTTTGATTTGCATTTCCCTGATGACTAGAAATGTTGAGCATTTTTTCAAATGTTTGTTGGCCATTATTCTGTCTTTTGAGAAGTTTCTGTTCATGTCCTTTGCCACTTGTGGATAGGGTTATTTGATTTTTTTTCTTGCTGATTTTCCAGAGTTGCAAATAGATTCTGGTTATCACCCCTTTATCGGATGTGTAGCTTACGAAAATTTTCTCCCATTCTGAGGGTTGTCTGTTTCGTGATAGTTTCTTTGGCTATGCAGAAGCTTTTTAATTTGATCAGGTCCCATTTATTTTTGTTGCTGCTGTGATTGTCTTTGGGGTCTTCATGAATTCTTTGCCTAGGCCGATGTCTAGAAGAGTCGTATTTCCAATGTTTTCTTCTAGAATTCTTATAGTTTCACACCTGAGGTTTAAGTCTGTTATCCACTGAGTTGATTTTTGTGAAAGGTGTGGATCTTGTTTTGGTCCTCTACATGTGGCTATCCAGTTTTCCCAGCACTATTTATTAAATAAGAATTCTTTTTCCCAGTGTGTGTTTTTGTTTGCTTTGTCAAAGATTAGATGGCTATATGAGGATGGTTTTATATCTGGGTTCCCGGTTCTGTTCCACTGGTCAATGTCCCTGTTCTTGTGCTTATACCAAGCTGATTTAATTACTCTAGCCTTATAGTATGGTTTGAAATCTGGTAAATTGATACCTCCCGTTTTGTTTTGTTTTGTTTTTGCCTAGGATTGCTTTTGCTATACTGGGACAGGGTCTTCTCTGTTTCCATACGAAGTATAAAATATTTTTTCTATATCTGTGAAAAATTATGTTGGTATTTTAATAGGGATTGCATTGAATCTGTGGATCACCTTGGGTGGCATAGACATTTTAACAATGTTGATTCTGCCGACCCACGAACATGGTTTGGTTTTGGACCTGTTTATGTTCTGTGCTATTTCCTTCCTCAGTGTTTCATAGTTCTCCATGTAGAGGTCTTTAACTTCTTAGTTAAATATATCCCCAGGTGCTTTATTTTCTTTGTTGCTATTGTGAAGGGTATTGAGTCTTTGATTTACTTCTCATTTTGACTGTTGTTGGCATGTAGGAATGCTACTGATTTCTGTACATTGATTTTGTTACCTGAGACTGCTGAATTTATCAATTCCAATAGTCTCATGGCAGAATCTTTGGGGTTTTCTAGATATAACATCATATCGTCAGCAAAGAGAGATAGCTTGCTCTCTTCTGCCCTCATTTGGATGCCCTTGCTTTGCCTCTCTTGTCTGATTGCTCTGGCTAGGACCTCCAGCACTAAGTTGAATAGAAGTGGTGATAGTGGGCAACCTTGTCTGGTTCCAGTTCTAAGTGGGAATGCTTTCAAAATGCAAGTTTTTTGAATCATAAAAACATATCTGGAACATACAAATCTGATTTTAAAACAAGTACCTCAAATAATATTTGCTCACGTTCATTCTAAGCAGAATTATTCAGTTACTGCATTTTCATGTGTTTTGCTAATCTAAAAGATATTAGAATGAACAAAAAAAATCACAAAATGTCTTGCATTTGGTGCCAAGTACAATGCAATTCATTGAAATCAAACATTTCACCTGAAATCTTACCTGGGAGAAGACATGGTGGTGGCAGGGAAATTGCACCAAACATAGACCACAGAAATTTCTGAAAGGAGTTAATCATATGGAAGATTTTTTTTTTTCCTGTCCCGGGGAAAGAGCAGCAGAGCCATGAACGGCACGTTCTTGTGTGGATGGGAGGTGGTAATGGATTGAAAAGAGACGAAAGGGAGATGCCAGTTATATAAATAGTGGTGACATTTAAAATGTGAGAGGATAAGAAAGGTTAAAAAAAAAATTGTCCAGCCTGCAAGCAAGGCCACCCAAGATAAATGACAACATAAGACACACCAGTGAGGGTGAAGTTCCAACGTTGCTGACGATATTATTCGAAGGGTCCTCCTTATCAAGATGATATAATGATCCGCTTTCCAATGTGCCAAGGGTCAAACGTGGCCAGGATTCTATCAAATAATTTAAATAAGTTTTAAGTGACCTCTAAGTTCTTTCCTGCTAGGTTATCATTTTTAAGATAAATGGGTGAATCACTCGCTGGAACAAACCAAATGTCACTTGCTCGTATAGGTTATTCAGTTTAAACTTTAAAATACGGCCTTTATTGTTAACACTGTACTTCATTAAGGGACAACATTATGTAAAGAAAGAGATTTTTGCTTAGATAAAAAGTTTCACATTTAAATTACCCAGCAAGTAAGGAAGGGGCCAGACAAATATTGATCCTTTGGTTAGAGCAGCTGTTAAAAGTGCATGTGATGCTTCCCTATGCTTTAATTCTAGCATCTGTACTCAATTCGTGCAGAAAGAGCTGCAGAGTTAACTTCCTCCAGGCTTTGGAGCGTTGGAATTTTCTGGTTCTTTGCTTGAGCTTCTCTCCCTCTCACTCCTAGGATCACATCAGAGTTAGTTCCAGACTTTTAATTTTACCATTAGTAAACTCGGCACCATTCCTCCTGTCTTCTGTTTTTGCATTTCTGATGTGACGTGTAGCAGGCCATTGGCAAAGAAAGAGATAGTTTGTCATATTCGTGGAGAGTAAACAGAGAGGTAAGAAGTTTTTCCAGAGTTCTGCTGTCTTGAGCTAGTGGTATTCTACTCTGTTCCATCCAGACCAACCTATTAAGCATCTGCTGTGAACCTTAAGGTCGTGTTAAGAGCTGAAGATTCAAAGATGAGCAAAATCAGGCGTGTGCTCTCAAGGGAGTCCTGAGAGGGTGGACTGCCCACCAGGGGCAATGTTGAAACCAAATTAAATCAGATACATGAAAATGTGTGATTTTACTTATTAAAATTTTTCCCTTCTGATTCCTAACAGAGCAGCTAGGAGCAATAGACACAAATAAACCTCTGTATGAACTACTTGTGAGACGGGGTTTAGGGGAGGAGTAGGTAAGTGAACAGTCACAAAACAATGGGGTAACTGTGACAACAGAAATTGGACCCAAGAAGCTATGGGCTGGCCAGGCGTGGTAGCTCACACCTGTAATCCTAGTGCCCAGGAGGCCGAGGTGGGAGGATTGCTCAAGGTTCGTTCAAGAACAGCCTGAGCAAGAGCGAGACCCTGTCTCTACTAAAAATAGAAAGAATTAGCTGGACAAGTAAAAATATATAGAAAAAAATCAGCCGGGCATGGTGGCACGTGCCTGTAGTCCCAGCTACTCGGGAGGCTGAGGAAGGAGGATTTCTTGTGAGCCCTCAGGGGTTTGAGGTTGCTGTGAGCTAGGCTGACACCACGGCACTCTAGCCCGGGCAACAGAGTGAGACTCTTTGAGACAAACAACTATTGGAACTTAGAAGATGTGGCATGAAGTGAAATTACAATTATCTGGAGTTGTACCTTTATTCCTCTTGGCATGCCCAGAAAACTGCTTGCTCATCTACAACTGTATTTTTCAATTCCCTCTTGTCTAGATAACAAGTTTGTTTCTTCAGTCTTTGAATATGTTTATCATATAATCAATCTCAAGTTGCTTTATGTTTTTAGTTCTGGAGGAGTAAAATTTCTCCACGTGATTTATTGTTTAAAAGCATCTTCAGGGGGAGTTGTTTGCTGTAGTGGCCGTGTGTGCTCTGAAGTCTGGGGTTACACCTCAGAGAGACTGTGCTTCTCTTCTATGGGAGTCCCAGAGTTGCCACTTGCTGTGGACCAGGCTTTAGCGTAATTTATGTTCACGACTTCTGTGCTGAGTGCATCATACACAGAATTTATGTGCACTATAATACTGCAAACCAGGCCGGGCGCGGCGGCTCACGCCTGTAACCCTAGCACTCTGGGAGGCTGAGGCGGGCGGATTGCTCAAGGTCAGGAGTTCGAAACCAGCCTGAGCAAGAGCGAGACCCCGTCCCTGCTAAAAATAGAAAGAAATTAGCTGGACAACTAAAATCTATATAGAAAAAATTAGTCGGGCGTGGTGGTGCATGCCTGTAGTCCCAGCTACTTGGGAGGCTGAGGCAGGAGGATCGCTTGAGCCCAGGAGTGTGAGGTTGCTGTGAGCTAGGCTGACGCCACGGCACTCTAGCCCAGTTAACAGAGTGAGACTGTGTCTCAAAAAAAAAAAAAAAATACTACAAACCACATGCAGCAAATACTGGTTTGATTTTTGTCATACAAAATTTTTTGTTTGTTTCTAGGCTTATTTTTCCATCCGCACCCCAGGCAGACAAGGTTCTTTGTCATTTCTCAGGGTCAGAGACTGAGAGTTTTCTGGTCCCAGCTTCAGAGACCAGGTATTCCTTGACCACTTCGGTGCGGCGCTTGCCGGCCGCGACACCTCGCCCACGGCGGCGCTCACGGCCCGCACGGCGGCTGCGCTGCGCGTGGACCACGAGCCCGTTGCGCTCGCTCGTGGGATGAGGAAAGCCTGAAAACACCGAAAGCTTGTTTTACTCCACAGGCAGCTTTCCTTGTGATGTAAATCGGAACAGGTAACATATACATATCTTTTCATGATGTTATTTTTAAATGTTCACAGTTTTATTTTGATGCGTGAAAAATTAGAAAAGTCATCTCACGGCTGTCGGCTGAAGTCGACGACGCTCGGTTCATCTGTGGCCGTCGACTGTAGCCGACGCTCGTACCGAAGTGGTTAAAGTCTTGACACAAGGGTCCTGATGTCTCAGCCACAGCTCCTGAGTACAACGCGCTACATCCACTAGACCCGGGAGGGTGCTGACCAGATTTTAGCTCATAGAAATTATACCCAGATTTGCCACCTGCCACCTTCTCAACTGATTTGCCTTTAAGTTTGGTTGGTTGGTTGTTTTCAAACCTCAGTTATTTTGGGGAAGGGAGAAGGGACACAGCAAATAACTTTAAATATTTTTGGCATGTCTTGTGGAACCCTATTATATACGTTGCTGACGAGTGGTGCTTCCGCTCTAACTGGAAAGGCATTAGAGTCACCCATGCTAAATAGATAACTAAAACCAGGGGTCCTCAAACTTATTAAACAGGGGGCCAGTTCACTGTCCCTCAGACGGTTGGATGGGCCAGACTATAGTTTTTAAAAAAACTATGAACAAATTCCTATGCACACTGCACGTATCTTATTTTGGAGTAGAAAAACAAACAGGCAAAAACACCCGCATGTGGCCCGAGGGCCGTAGTTTGAGGACGCCTGACCAAAACAAACCAAACCAAAAGCATGATTTGCTGGTGACCTTGGGAGTTTGGTTTGTACGGAACTTGTATGAAGTGGAAGGAGAGAAGGTCAGTGAGCAGAAATGCTGACATTTGCATCAGCCTCCCTGGAAAGTAATCTGGAAATGGGATGTGTGTAACCAGACGGCACGCCCGTGACTGACCAGGTAGGGTGTGCCTTCTCTTTAACCTGGGAGAGACGTCTGCTCCATTCACGAGACACTGGTTGCCGTGGGAATTTCCCTGCCACTGTACACAAGAAATTTGGGCAGATCGTGTGCTGCGGCCCAAGAAACCAGCTCCAGGCAGTCAGCCCAGGACTTGCCTTACTTGCTTCTCTTCTCTCATGGATCAAAGCCCTTTGCCATCTGTTGGAACCTTCCATGATACGCTATTTCATTTTTATGCTATTAATGCAATATTTTTCACGTACATACAGAATTTTATGTGTCCTGTAGTTCACTTTTAGTTCTAGGCAAGGAAATTCCCAGACTCACTACGTAATAAATAACTCTACCTAGGGTATTTTTCTTTCATTATACATAAGGATAATCTAAACTGGTTTTGTGTTTTTGCATCTATAAAGTTAAGCTGTGACCATGTCTCCCACACAGAGACACAGAGAGGTGATAAGGATAACCCCAGTGAGGGGGGCAGGCACAGTTTTAACAACCAAAATCAATAAGAGATGGCTGAACCCTAGGCCTGCAGGGATGATACCTTTTTTTCTTGTCGTCAGACTTTTGCTGCTTCTATGCAAACAAGAAAAGTTCTGCATGTTATTCCCAGAAATTCCGTGTCCAAAGAGAAAAGCTGCTTATTTCAGTAGGAATTAGACCTGTGCTCTGGGGGGAGACATCAGAGTTCTTGGATGAGACGTTGACCCACTGGGCCCTGAAGCACCATTCGTACACACTTGACCCGTGTTCCATCTTTGTCCTCAAGCCCGAAATGAAGGTCAATAGACTATGGAGTCGGACGGTCCTGCTCTTATATAACCCTGCTCTTATATAACTAGTGAGATCCTAACTAATGCTTCTATGATTTTTATAGCCAAGTAAAATCTGTCGGCTATGCACAGAACAACAGATACCTCTCAGGCAGGCAGGCCGGTAAGAACTGAGGCTGAAATTCCCACCGCAGCACGTGCAGAGCTCAGAGACAGGTGGCAGGGCCCTTGGGGGTAACTTCAATTATAAAAGAAGAGTCACCACCATGTGAAGTTTGACTGTGACCAATTTTATTTCATAACTGCATTGTTGGGTGGGTACCTTAGGGTAATAGTCATCCAAAATGTAGTTTTGCATATTTCTCAAATTCCCAAAGCAATACTCTTATACACAATGCCTTGCCCATAGTAGTCAGCTTTGGAGATGATTCCTACTGTAGCCTTAAGGATGCAAGAACAATGAAGCAAATCTCAATGCTGGGCAGGTGTTTATAGGTATCTGCTACCAAGCTGAGCAAAAAAAAAAAGCTCAGGATTTCAGTCCTTCTAAACACAGTTCTTCATCTAAAGCAAAAGAAATAAGCTTTGGAAAAGTTTGATTTTGAAACCCCTCTGTGGCTTTTATGCAAAAAAGCTTTATGCATTTTAAGTTACAGAACTCATGCAGTTCGTATTTGCTGCTGTTTTAGGCACTGCTGAAAGCACTGATGTGTAACAGATTGAAGAAACCTCATTTTTGGTATGTGATTATTGAATGGTTCTCAAAAATAACCTTATGGGACTTGCATTACCTGAAGGATGGCAACTTGACATGTGATGCATTTAACATGCACAGTTTCCTCATTTTGTCTCGACCTAAATGTCATATAATCAAGCAGAGGGTGTATTTGTTAATGCGCCTCAACACGGCTTTAATCTGAGAACTACAATAACAAGGAGATGGACTTACAGGTTCATCATATCAAAGAGGTAATCATTTGTGATTCTGCAATATTTTAAGGTTAGAAAATCGTATATCTTCAATCACTTCACTTAACCAAAATGTGGCTTGGAAAAAAAAAAAACAAACCCATAAACCATAGCTTTCTGGATGTAAAGCATTCTGTTCACACTGCTGCTCAGTACCTTGCTTTATTTTTTTGGTATGTTTGTGTATTGCATCCAGAGCTACAGGTTTTGCACAGTGCTTTTCTGCCTCATTCAAGTACAATAAAAGTAGAAATCTATAGAAGCTCTAAAGTTAAACAAACTGTACATCATACAAAAAATTAACTTAATTTACAGTCAAAAAGTATTGGCAATGCCCTTTATAAATCTTAGCAAAGATTCATCACAAAGGATGTCACAACCCACACGTGTGGTCATCAGCTTACAAACGTCATTTTGATTTGTGTGGTGCAGAACTGAGTGTCTTAAGTGTACACACATGGAATCAGCAATTTGTACCATATACATTTCCTTTAGAGTAACAGTGCTGTCAACACTAATCTAAGGTACAGGATTTTCTTATTGCATATTCACTGTTGCTGAGGCAGTTAGTTATGATACAATAACAAATATCCATAATCATTTTAAATAAACAAGAACATTTCTCCTACCAACAAGATAAAGAAATACATTGTTTTCTGAAATCACAAAGAACATTGCTACATACGGTTTTAGGCAAATACTGAAAAACATGACCTTAAGGCATCTGCCGGGAAAGCAGATGTGCATACTTGTATGAACTAAATGATGCAAGAAAAAATATTGCACGAAATCCTATTATTTTCAAAATAAAATGCCTCTAAATGTACATAATTCTTTATTTCTTCACCAAATCATAAGGTTAACTGGTTTGCTCAAAACCATTCTGCCTCTTAAATAAGCTTTAAGAAACATACACTAACAATATCACTGGGCTTGACATAGGGAAGAATGTACCAGTACTGACGCAGGGTCTGTGAAACTATTTCTTACAATGAGAAGTGATCAGAGAAAACTAGATTTGGGAATTCATTTTATATTCTTAAATATTCTGATTTACAAATATCTTCTCAGGTTTGGGTCATTTATGCATACCAAACAAAATGGAATTCATATTAGAAAATTTATTCATCAAAATCTTGTCCTGAAAATCCAAATTTTCTAGAAGAGAATGAAGGTCTACTGATTTTGAGAATATTCAGTTTTCTCCTCTCGATCAAGAGTTTACTTCTACACCTTATTTAAGAAACAACTAAGTCATTATCATTCCTGGATCCTAGTAATAGGATATTAACAGAGAGCCCTAATAACAGCACTGCCATAGACAGTTTTAACTTAAAAGGGAGTGGCAGTTTCTAGAGAATGCTGTTGTCAAAATTAAAGATAGTAAAAACTGGATTCCGATCAACGTGCATCCACCTCCTCAGTTTTATTCCTACACTGGGTGAAGTGGCCACATGCGCTGAAAGGAGCTTCATCCCCTTATAGAGAGCCCGGTGCTGTCTGGTTATCTGGTAGATTTTCAGATAAACAAAAACACTCAGAGCATCTGAATCTGCCCTTTAAAAGTGGATATCTTAGCAGCATTATACTTAGCATAATAATTGAGAAAGTTAATAAGGTTAGAAATGGTACCATTCTTAGAGTATGCTTACAGTTAAGCAGCCATAAAAATAAACTTTTTTTTTCACTGTTAGAATCCTGGGCTAACAACTTCTAAGCAGAGTATACTGTTGCTGTTGTTGTTACTATTTTTAACAGATTGGCAATTCCTTTGCCTTTAATTGGTTCCTTCAGAGCAAGGACTGTGTCAATTATTTTACTTCCCCTCGTGCTCAGTTACTGCACCTTGCATATGAGTGACACAAGTCAGTAACTATTTTCTAAATGAAGGAGCCAGTAATTTTTAATCAAGAAAATAATCATGCTGTATTTGGTGCTGTTCTAAGATGTGCCAAAATGGGTAGCTATCAAAATATACCACTTAGCAACATTTCCACTTAAAACAAGAGCCCCTAATCTACACACTACTCCTTTGTCCCCTCCAAAATGCAACAGCTAGGGGCAGAAGGATAAGGGTGAGAGTCATGACTCGGCTTTGGGGCCATATAAAAGACTACAGTCCCACAGCCACAAGTCTTATTAGTTTACACAGTTCTGTTGTAGAACAGGTATTGCTTCCTTGAAAAATAATTTCAAACAGCAGAGGAGCTTTTAAATATTTGGTTTAGTTACAGTAGAAAATATGGGCATTGCAGAAAATAAGATAACACTTTCATTTATTTCAGAACTCACCCTAAATTTCACTTCATTCTCACTATGACCACCATAGTACTGGGAAGTCTAATTTAAGAGAAGTCTTCGAACACTCAAAATTTTAATGACTTGAATTATCAATACTTGCTAGTTAGTATTCTGGATTTTGTTTTTGAAGAATATGGAGAGTTTATTTCTGCTTTTGTTTTTAACACGGAATACAACAGCAAATTTTGCATGTTAAAATAAGGCACAGAACACTTTAAAATACCTTGAGACAATCATGTTATCTGAGTGGCTAAATATCCTCGAACAACAGTGTTACAGCCAAACGTCTTGTGAGGTGACAAAGATAGAAAAAGAATTTAGATTTCTGAGGCCATGATATTTATTATGTAAATGGACTGAAACTCAAATTTGGCCTACGCTACTCAACGTTATCTCATTCTCCAGAGTGTGAGTTCTGAAATAAAAAAAAACCCACTTCATTTCCAAATTCATATTAAAAGGCTGCTTTACATTCTTTTCACAAATTATGAAGATTATTTGGCAAGCAGATTAACAACCAGAGTAACCTTTTTTCCTTCTTGTTTCAAAACAGTTCTTTTGATATATGGGCTACTTCTGTTATATGTTTCAGTAAAGTAAGTTGGAATTTTGTAACGATCATATAAAAAGCAAAATTTAACAAGAGCTTTGTTTTCTGTGTTAAAATAAGGATTTTTTTTTTACTTTATATATTTTTATCCTTGTAAGGAAAACAAGATTCATCTTTCTTCATAATCATGAATGAATAACTCAAAACATTCATTTAGATCTTGAAATGTAGATTTAAAAAAACTTGGTCATTTTCTTTAAAGTATTTAGACTGACCTCTATATATATTTTTAAGTAATGTTTTTAACAAAACCCCCTTCTAAGATTTTAAATGAAGTTATATTCTTTCAGCAAATATTTTAGAATACAGTCTTTTTGGGGCTTCTTGGATGGCTTCTCAACTTTTCCAAAAAGATAATTTTAAAAAAATAATCAGATGGGGGGGTGTATGCAGTAGACATGCTGAACAAACATACTGATGACAAATGAACCATAACATCACTGTTTTTTCCCTAACCATACCTGTCAATCTAGTCTATCATGAAGTGACCAGTACCTGAGTCCCGCTCAGATGAATTCCAAAGACTATAGTGAATTTGAAAGGAAGAGACAGATTTCCAATGCAGGAGAATTTCAAATAATTCATGTAGACGCTTCTCTGCCCTAAAGGAGGGGAGGATAGCTCCTCAGAGAATCACAGCGACTTCCTTCTGGAAACTGCCTTATGGAAGAGGGAGGGAGGGAGGGAGGAAGAGTAACTTCAGGCGCAGAAACCCAACTCAGCCGGGTCACCTGGCACTCCAACACACAGTCACGTTGACAGCACGTGCCTTTGACATGACCTGGTATACCCGGCACTTTGCTCTGTGATCCTCCTCCCCAAAACCCACAGTCCCAGTCTCACCCTGAGGAAAGTACCAGAAAATCTCCACAGGGGGACCCTACACAGCATCTGACGGCCTCAACTGCCACTAGAATCCAGGACAGTCTGAGAAGCTGCCACCGCCAAGAGGAGCCCAAGGCAACAGGACAACTTAAGGCACCCCTGGATGGGATCTAGGGACAGAAAACAGCCACCAGGGAACAACAGACTGTGACCCAGGTATGAACTATCGTCAATACTGGCTCATTGGTTGTGACAAATGTCCACACTAATGCACAGTGATGATAACAGAGAAACAACAGTGATGTGTGGGAACTCTATGCACTATCTTTGTCATTTTCCTATGAATTATTTTTAAAAGGTAAATTTGAGATAATGATATGAAACATTTTGATAGAGAATTATTAGTTGAAGAAAAAAAAAGGAAAATCTTTGCCAGGACAGTTTGTTGCGTTTGGCTTTCGTAGGGTAGATCCCTGGACAGCAGAGGCAGACAGAGAGACCGGGAAATGCTTAAAGCGTCTCACCTGTAAACACAAGTCATTACTTCACATTATAATTCAGCACTTCATATATTTCACTGAATACAAGGTAAATGTATACCTTTATAAGTAAATTAAAAAGCTCTTTTGTAGAAATACTTAATCTTGAAAAAAATGAATTTTGACCTTGATTTGATGAATAGAAAGTCATTATTGCTCCAAACACCAATAACTCATCCTTCAGACTTCACGTGTAATTTCATAAATTATGTTAAGTATGCTTAGCACAGCTTCAAGATTAAGGCAATTAGTGGGTTAACAGTTTCATCAGTTTCAGGCTAGTTTTGATCAGTTCATGCTCAACCAGGTTAGTGCAGTAGCGACTGGTTAGGTGCATGGCTTATATATGCATACGTAGTTTAAATAGAATGAATGGCAGTAAGCACCAAATACTAGGAGATCATATGTTCAATACATGTACATACAGACTAGTACCTGATTTAAAGAGCACAGTAGAATAATCTGCTTCGTATTTAAAAATCAATGGATAACATATCCATGAAATGAACAAGTGGGGGAAACATTTGTTCCCAATGGAAAAAAAATTAAATAGTAGTAAGAGGTGTCATTCCTACAAATAATTCTGTTTATTGTTCGGATCACAGGGAATCCTGAAACGTCTCCGCAGAAGCTGGGATGTGAGACTCAGGCTTGGTTTCCACTCGTGCTTTCCTCTGAAACGTTCAGGCTCTGCTGGAAGTCGGACGCCATGTGGCACAGCGACACGACCTCGTGCAGCAGTCCGGGGGCTGCCAGAGGCTCTTGGGCTTCTTTTTCCCACGGAACAAAAGTTGACGGATGCCGCCCGGGGCAGGGTAAGAGTGGATCGTCGGAGGTCTGGCTTAGTGTTTCCTCCTCTTCTATCTTTCCTTCATCAGTCGAGGAACCTCCAGGGGCCTCGAGGTGGAAATCCACTCCCGACGCCGCCCCGGCAGGGCCACTCCCCGCGTCCGCACTGGGCGGCTTCTCGCTGCTCTCCTCCTGCAGGATGAAGAGGGACTCGGCCGGCCCGCTGGAGGACACCCGCTTTCGGGGGGACGGGGGCAGGTGCCGGCCGTGAAGGGCGCAGTCGTCCTGGCCCAGGTGCCACTCGGCCTGGTCGCCAGAGCCGCCGCCCAGCAGGGCCAGGTTGCTCTCGCTGGGGGCGTTGGACTTATTCTGCAAGGAGGAACAACACATCCAGAAAACTGTTAATAGGAGTAATTTAGTGATGTTTTTCCCTCACTGTGCAGTCAGGGTCTTTCAAGGCTAGGAACCTGAAGTTCCTCCCACAGGGAATGAAGCATTGAGGGTTTAGTGAACACCCCCAATAGCTCTGTTAACCGGGAGGGACACTGGCTTCCATGTCCTTGTACTGGTCACCCGTCAAATTCAAATGAGATCATGTCACTAACGTCAAGTTCCGGAGTCTCTGCCGATCAGAACGGGGTTGCCATTGCTCAGACTTCTGTGTTTCCTCTTTTTAAGGCATTTAATTCAATGTGTTTAAAATATTCATTTTTGAAGTAATAAAATGGAAAAAAACGACCTGAATGAATACTTATGTTAAAAATATTTTTAAACCCAGGAAATAAATGTGAAAGGGTTCCACTTTTTTTTCCTTTAAAAATTTGCCCATAGAAGACGACAGTAAAACTAAACTGCAAGAAAACATTTCTACTTGACCAAAGAATTTCAACTGACATCAACCACCAGAACTAGGTAAGTGAAAGGGGAAATATTGGGATTTTATTACTGGAAATAATTCTTAGTGATTAACTATTTCGAGGTTAAATACTTCCCCCAAGAGTATAAGATCAGGAAATCACAGCAAGGACAAGAGTGTTTTCTTTTAAGTCAAAAAATCAACTAACCGTAGGTTTGTAATCAATATCATCCATGGATCTAAAAAAGTCCAAGCTTCTCGCAGCTGCCAGCTTCCCCTGATCCGAGCTGTGTGTGCTCAGGGTATCCAGGATCTCTCCCAGCAAGTCCATCTCGCCCGAGTACGGCGTCTTCACTCTGGTTTCGACGGAGTCGTCACTTTCATAGAAATAGGCAGAAGCTTCTTCGCCGTCTTCCAAAGAAACCCTGAAAACACACACAGTGGCAGACACCTGACCGCGCAGCTGCGTGTCAGTGGTAGGTCACCACTCACATTGTTAGTGAGAACTCTGAAACCAAAGGGGTGTTTCATTGGAACAAGGACAAAATTGATAACTGGTTCATTGAATTCTTTAAAGTGATGTATATATCAATTTGATTACTGGAAATTTTAAGTACATGCAAAAAGTATACTATACTTCATCAATCTGAAGTTGGAAGTAGGGCTTTTTAACACAGTCCCAAATCCCACAGAATTAAGACTATTACTTTAGGAATATTAGATGGAACACTTGGAAAGTTTGCTACAGCCCAGGTTCACTTTCAATATTTTATATGGTTTCTCTTTTCTTTATTCACTTATATTAGAAGAGAATGCACATTCCTCTATGTAGAGAAATACTTAACAGAGGAAAAAATCCAATTTGTCATCCCCATATATCTTAAAATTGTTAAAAAGCTAAACATGTATTATTTCCCTTATCTTAAAATTAACACTGTACTAAATATTCCTCTTCTGTTATCACCAAAGACTAAATTCCCCCACCCCCCAATTCAGTCTGTTTCAGCCGACTCTCATCACTGCTCCTGACATCCCACCTTCCCCTCTTGAGCATGAGGGGCAGAGCCTAACTTGGGGGCTTCTGTTTCCCTTCGACACTGTCCCAGGTATCTCTGTACCCCTCACTGCTTTCCCGTCCCGAGATGTCCCCACGACATTCCAAGGAGCACTGGTCCCTTGTGGTGATGAACCTTGCAAGGAAGCAAAAGCCCGGAGTCCCGGGGGCTCATTCTTTGAAATGTCCCCAATGCCCTAAAATCCTGCCAGTGAGCCCCCCACGCACCTGCTTGCTCGTTCACTGTCCTCGTCATCCTCGTTGTCCAGAGCACCATCGAGGCTCTTAAGAGGTCTTTTTAAGCGGGCCTAGGGAGAGAAATTGGTGTTAGCAGTTTAAAATAAGTCTCTGCAGTAAGTTTTATTAATAGAGGAGCAACGGGATTCTATAAGGAACATTTAAAAAATAAATATGCAATCCGGGTGGCTTAATGTTATAACTTGACAAACGGGGGCAGGAAGAATGGGAGGAAATCAGATAATATTTAACTCAATACTTACTAGCTCCTCAAAGTGATGAATAAAATACAAACACTGGACTGAATATGGTGTAAATAATCAGGCCAAATCTCATGAGAACAGCCTTCCTTTTGTGATCACAAATAATCTTTGAAATTAGTATGCTCACAAGAGAGGAAGAGTGTCAGGAAAATTGTAAAAGACTTTGAAAGGACAGCAGTCATTTTGTGCCCATTTCAAAGGAATGTTGGGTGTTGACTAGCATTCTGTTCCAGGATTTTCTGATACTATGCAGGTCTATAATTCATGAGCTCTATTTTACGGCTTTATACAGACTGAAGTTAATTTTTAGAGGACTGATGGTAATGCAAATGCTTTTTTTTTTTAAGAGATAGGATCTCACTCTGCCACCTAGCCTACAGCACAGTGACTTGGATCACAGCTCACTATCACCTTGAATTCCTGGACTCATGGGATCCTCTTGCCTCAGGCTCCCCAGTAGCTGGGACTACAGCTGTGCACCTCCAAACCAGCTAATTTTTTTTAAATTTGTTTTTTGTAGAGATGAAGTCTATGTTGCCCAGGCTGGTCTCAAATCCCTGGACTCAAGTGATCCTCCCACCTTGGCTGCTAAAAGTGCTGGGATTACAGGCATAGCCACTGCACCTGGCTTATGTTTTTTGTATCTATAGAGATTCAAGTAAATTTTGCCCAGTGGAGATGTAATAATTATTATAGTGTGGATCTTGGTTTTATATTTGTTAGCATATACATTTCAATATTCCTGATCATCTAAGTTTCTGTTCTTTGGATTGTCCTTTGTACCACACCTTACTGGTTCTCTTGCTAATTAATGAGCTAAATAAAACATAAGAGTCATAATTTTACTCTTTAATGTAAAATTATTCTTCAGAATAAGAAGAAATGTTTTCTGAATATATATATGTAGTAGGTAGTTTCTGTTGAATACTTACTAAATGAATTAATCAACTGATAAGAAAATACATAGTTCAAAGAAAAAATACTTTAAAAAATTAATATAAGAAGCAGAAGAGTATTTCATTCATTCGACAAAGATTAAAGAAATGCCTTCCCCATGCCAGGCACTGGGCTACATGCCAGGGCACGATGACCAAGAAGAGGAATCCTCATAGTAAATGAGACATGAATTGAGTATTAATACAACAAGCATGACAACTACAACTGTAACTAACCTGTACTAAGCTACAATTGCTAAGAAAATACTCAGAAGCTGACCCCATCTGGAAGATCAAGGGAAGCTTTCCCGGAAAGATGCTGGACTTGGGCTCTCAAGGGTTAGTAGGCACTGAGCAGACAAGAGGTCACCGTACTGGCCCCACCGGGGCAGGCACACGGAAAGGAAAGGTCACTGCCGTTGCACTGTGGAACAGAACCTGTGTCACGCACAGCATTTGTGAAGAGTCCATCAAAACTTGCAGTTACCCTTCTGATCACTAGATGGCAGACACAGACTAAGAAGGCAAAAGACTGGAATTGATTCCTGGGGAGACCAGAGACCCGGCAGGAAAGTGGGGAGGGGAGGGAGGCAAGGCACAGACCTGGACTTGCAGGTCCAAGCCATGAAGAGCAGCAGAAAGACATTTAGTCAAAACACTTATTGAGAACCTGCAGGCAGCTGCCATCGTACACTCCCTGAAAAAAAGGTGGAAGCCACGTATCATCTTTCCTTCGGTGCTTCCTGTCTCTTCTCTGCAACACCGTCTACTCCTGTATTGCATGCGGCTGCCTTCTGTGCCGTGAGATATACCAAAGAAATGGAAAAGACAGTCCTTCTGTTCAGGACATTTAGAAAATATAGGGTAAAAAATGCCAAAATATTAGATATGATAAGTTATAGATAAAAACTTCTTATTGCACATTGTATGAACATAATCAAATTTAAACTTTTTGATCCTAGATGAAAACTCACATAAATGACCATTAATACCGATCATAATTAAGGTGATATTAAACTGTAATATTCCTAATGGAAAAGTCGGTCTAGTCAACAGACTAATAATGTTAACAATATAGAATTGTAATTATATACTATAAACAATGGTAAATTCTGGGATCAAACGAGAAGGCACAGAAATTTCTGAGTGCTGGGATTACAGGTGTTCCCTGAGCACATGTGACACGGCCAGCGGGGAGGACGCTGAAGCGGCCCTGCCACACCCAAGGACAGTCCCCAGTGACTACGTGTTCCCTGTCACCTTTGCTCACTTCATTCTCCAGCACGCAGCTCCAGCTGATACGTGCTCCCTTACAGAGACACTCTTCCATCTTAAGTGCATTCCTATCTTACCAAGTCCTTGAGACCAAGAATCATACCTTTTAATTCGCTTTGCTTCTACTCCATGCCATTCAGAATGCAGAGAGCTGCAAGAGAATGTCACTTCCACCTTAACAACAAGTGAAAGCTGGGTAATCTAAAAGAATCGTAATTTTTCTTGAACCTATCAGAGAGCTGAGTTGCAAGGCAACCAAGTACAGTAAGTTTCATACATTACAAGCCCCTCCAAGGAGAGATGAGAGACAGGATCAGCTTCACCCTTGGCGAAGCACAAGGAAAGAGGCAGCTGCCACGTAAGCAGGTAAGAAGAAATCTGCTACAATTTTGATACAGTCTTAAAGACCAAGTGTGGACTAACATGTCAGCTTGGAACAGCTGGGATTCTCAGAGCCAAGGTGAGCTTGCACTTGTGAGCTCTTTTCCACATATAAATTCCTGTAAATTTATTTCCTAATTCAGACACCCCTGCTGTCCAGGGCAAGAAAGGAGACCGAGAAGAGCTTCTCTTGCTGGTTCAGGCTTGTGACAGGCTGCTGCATAGGGACAGGCATGAAGCCCTACTTACTTTTCGAGAATATTCATTTACATAAAATAAAAGCCTTGAACTACTCCCTCCCTCCCTCCCAAGATGGCTAGGGAAATGCAGAAGTAGAACCTGTCTCTGCTCTAGGGAAAAACAGGAGACCTTGAGCACAGGATGCTATGCTGATACCAAGCAAAGGTCAACCACCGCTAAGGAGGGACAGGTAACCCTCACTCACCCAAGACCAATCACGATATAAAGAAGTTTCTGTGCTGTGAAGAAAGCCCACACCGAGGCACAGGGACACCGTGCCTGCCCAGGACAAGCTGGAGCAGAGCACAGAAAGCCCACAGGGCGGAGACCACATTACTAGCAAGAGGAGCTCACTCCTAGCGTGGGGAGCGAGAGACCAGCCTTCCCGCATAGCTCGGGTACCCTGGGACTGCCTGCTGATGGCTCCAGGTGACGCAGGGACACCGAGAAGGCCTTCCAGCACCTCCATCACGAGCTCTCCACCCTTAGCACAAAGTACCAGCAGCCCACTGCGGGCAACAGATCAACAACAAAACCCAAATCCAGTTCAATTTCCGATGGACTCGGTCTCTTACACTGCCAGCATTACAGCATAAAAGCCTCGCCCATTTCCAGGTGTAAATACTATTTAACTCTTTCTACCTGTGCGTAAGCATTCAATTAAGAATTATAAGACACGAAAAAGATGGACAAGATGCAGGAATAGATGGGATGACAGCAGAGAAATGGAATCTATTTTTTTAAAAAACAAAAGTAGAAAATGATAGAAATAAAAAAAATATGGCATCGATGAAGAATTCTTAAATGGACTCATCAGCAGACTAAGGAAAGAATCAGTGAACGTCAAGATAGGTCAATAGAAATTATCCAAACTTACACACGCAGAGAAAAGAGAACAAGGAAAATGAAAAGAAAAAAAAGTCAACAAGAAAAAAACCGAACAGAGCATCCAAGAACTGAAGAATACCACCAAGCAGTCCAATTCATTCTGGCCCTAACACATAGTGGTCACTCATTAATGTTTTGCAGTAGGTTGTTGCAGTTGATAGAACAGAAACATTACTAAGATTTATGAAATTTGTAGTGAGTGTTGGAGAAACAAATACTGTCGCTACGCTAACCCTAATCTCCACAATAACTCTTTGGAGGTGGACGCAATTTTCGTAGTTTTACAGATCTGAAGGCTGAAAGGATCAGAGAGGTCAGGAGAGCTGCTCGCTCAAGTTCGCAGAGCACCGGATGCTACGCTGATACCAAGCAAAGGTCAACCACCGCTAAGGGCCTTTACACTCCCACGCTGGGGCTACCAGGGACCAGGGTGATGGCTTAGAAGTGAAGAGGAGGAGTGAATATCAAGGTCAGTGAAGTAAAATCTCTCTGAATTTGTAAATGACAGTTCTTGGTAGGAGAGAGAGAGATAAGTGATCTTGAAAATTACAGCTCAAAAGCCCTCACACACAGCATGTGTCGAGAGGAGGTACAAAAGGTGTAAACCAGCACACAGTAGGCGCACAGAGTCTCCACTACGGTCGGGCTGTTCTGTCCACATCACACCACTAAATGCATTAATGGAAAATTAATGAATATTAAGTTGAGGTCTGTTCTAAAACTTGACTAAAACCCACACATTAAAGAACCGACCCGTTTACAGAGCCTTTTTCCTGAACACAAATTAGGAAGTTTAGTTTGGCAAAATACTGTTTCAAAATCATTCCAGAAACATAGTACGTTAGAATTCATTTTTCCATTATTAATCGGAGACTATATAAAAACCCATCCAACGGCAATACTCTACCAGGCATTCTACAAGACTGTCTCCTTCTGAAAAGATTGTTTATGTCCTTTGCCCACTTTTTGATAGGGTTGTTTGATTTTTTTCTTACTGATTTTCCTGAGTTCTATATAGATTCTAGTTATCAACAGATAGACTACTGACTAACAAACATATGAAAACATGCTCAACATCTCTAATCACCA